TTATTTCAAATGTGAAATTGTACCAATATACTCACTGACCACTAGGGGGCGCTCACGGACCACCAGTGGTCCGCGGACCACACTTTGAGAAGCACTGATGTAAAGTAAGCCCTAACTAAGAGTGCATGCTAGCATTTTCGTGTGTGTGTGTGTGTGTGTGTGTGTGTGTATGTGTATGTGTATGTGTATGTGTATGTGTATGTGTGTGTGTGTGTGTGTGTGTGTGTGTGTGTGTGTGTGTGTGTGTGTGTGTGTGTGTGTGTGTGTGTGTGTGTGTGTGAAACAGACCATCAAAAGGTTTCTCTAACTGGATCCAGTCCCTGTAGACGAAGTTGCAGTAGTCTTTTCCATGCCAGAAGCGTGTGCGACCCTGTAACTCTCCAACGCCAGTCTTTAGGCTTTTCACCGAGCCACTCCCTACACACCCAAAACAAATGAAAACATTATGGTAATAGGCCTACATTTACTGAATATAGCACCTTTATATCCTTTACACAATGTGCCTTTCATTCAACTACACATAACATAATGACTCATGTTTTCTGTGTGTCTTCTCATGCTCACACACCGGTGCTGTCCACGCTGCTCACACTGTCTGCGTGTTGCAGTGTGTGTTTGTGCAGGTGTTTGTACAGACTGAAGCGAGCCTTCCTGCTGCGTCCGATCCCCTTCAGCTTCGGCAGGTCCACCGGGTCTCCTCGTCCGTTGACGTTGGAGACGTCCACGGAGGACACGCCCTTTTTGGACGGAGTGGTGGTGGAGCCAGCCTGGGTGCAAGAAGAAAAAATTGAAAGTCCACTCAGTTATGGGATTGGATAATTGATTAAACGCCCATAACTGATATAAGTGAAAACACACCATATTGCCACCATTTAGATTTCTCAAAGGTCACCTATTATGCAAAATCCACTTTTTTCATGTCTCTTCTACATCAACATGTGTCCCCTCTGCGTTAAGAGATTCTGGAAGTTTCAGGAAAAAATATTCTCTCTCTTTTTGTCCTGATCCATTTCTATAAAAACCTGTCTGAAAATGAGCTGATCAGATTTTGGCCACTTTATGATATAACGATTTTTTTGGCTTGTGTAACCATTAGCCAATCACCAACCAAGGTAACCCCCCCCCCCNTCCCTCAGGGACTTATTCCGTTGTGAACGCGATTTACTAGATAGTTCCAGGAAATAAAAGTTCTGGGAACTATTCCTGGGAAAAGTACTTGGTGTGAAAGCGCCTAGTCTGTTCTTTTAACCAAATATCTCTCAGAGGGGCGTGGGGAGGGGCTCCTTATTTTCATCTAAAGTAACAGACAGAGAATCAGCACTTTGGAAACAGGGCTGAAACAGAGGGGATTATGGGTAATGCTACAATGCATAATATGTTTGGTATTTCGAGCCAAACACTTCGGAAACATGTTTTGTATATATCTGAGACCTATAATACATTGATGAAAAACAGTATAATAGGGGACCTTTAAGAAATCTAGCTGTATTAGCAGGTACACTTTTTTTAATTGTCCTTTACTTTGGTTTACGAAATCGTATGTCAATATCTAGTTTTAAGCCTCATTTTACAATACAGATCTGGTGCCCATTTCTTCTTGCATCCCTAGATGGTGGTGTTGTTGAATTATATTACCTAATAAATAGTCTTCCTTTATTTATATAAATGACAATGTGCGGGGTTTTATATGACAACGTGTGTGTGCCTGTACTGCCTGTTCTATTAAAAGAAGAGACCTTTTCATAGCTTGCACTGTGAAAGTGTTCTTTCAATTCTGTATTCATGCACATACAAAACCAACGAGTTACATGCAACGCAACCTCTTCACCACCCTTGTGCAACTGTGTGAGTTTGAGGGCAATTCTCCATTTCTTCCTCACATTGATTGCCTATACCTCCAGACTGTAGACATGTAATTAGTTGTGTAAAGTTGTGTGTTCAACCTGCTCAAGAGCCACAGATCGCGTCACGCTGCCGACATCTGTCAGCCGGTGCTCTTTGTCGTCCCAGCGACCATATGCCAGGTCGATCCCGCCCACGAAGGCCACTGATTGGTCAATGATAACGATCTTCTCGTGATGCGCCCACAGATAGACGGAGGACGAGACGTGATCTGGATGACGCATCACCTAAGACAAAAACATGGGAAATACAGCTCAAATGAATTCACACACAAAGTAAAACAAATGTGTATTAACTTGTCTTAACTGCATCATCTTCAACTACCCATAATCCTTCAGTTACCTTGATGTTGGGGTGCAGGTGCATGAGTGTCCTCTTGCTGTAGCCCGAGTTGATGCCCAGGGCGAGCTCCACCTCTTTATACAACATCACAAAGATGCGCACTCCCTGTTGCTGTAGAAACGAAAGGACTTATTTTTATTTCCATTTGACACATTTGTCTCAAAGATTACAGAAATATTGCTTCATGGATTTTGTTGAAACATGTTGGAAGGGCGTAGCAGCAGGTCCCAATCACAGGGCAGAGACATTAATAACTTTTGATAGGGCATTTGTGCTACGTTCATGTTCTGTCGCCTTAAAAATAATCTCGCATTCGGGAAAATTCACATGAAAAAATTCACAACACAGTCATCAATGTGCTGCATAAACACTTTGAGTGATAAATACAGCACATCTTCTTTGTTGCTCACTGCCTAAAACCCATGAACACAGCACAGTCAGAAGAAGTTGAGAAATGGGACCATCCAAGGAGCAAGTGAATACACCATGTTATGTATCTAATGTAATCCTAATGTTTTGTCATTATGTAGTTATTAAAGGTCTCCTATTATGCTATTTTTAGGCATACCTTATGGGTCTAGCCCTGTTAGAGAAACGCGGATTTTGGGTCCTTAGCTTGAAAAAAAAGAAAAAGAGTGGGAGCTTGTGCCTGCTCAGAATTCTACGAGATACTCAGCTAAATGCTGCCGTGATTAAACGCCATATCATGTTCCAAACCACATCAAGGATTATTTCTGAAACAGTATGGAGCTCAAATGCTTTTTCTCTTGCGGGTTTACCACAAGGTGAGTTTCTTTTTTTATTTCCTGCTTTTTTACACATACTCTCTCCAGTATAGGTTAGCTCTGAGTGTTAGCGATGCTTGCTAATGTAAACAAAGACCATATTACGTCCCAAAACACGTCAGGCATTGTTTCTGATAGCAACGTTTCTGATAGTGCCGTGGGTCCACATTTCCGATATTACGTCATATCGGACGCAAATCTGGATCAGCTCCGTTTTTTTTAGAGATTTAGGTACAGAGGAAAGAGAGAGGGTTTTGTTTTCTGACACTTTGTGAGTTCTCTGACACACCGGGGACACATATTTATGCATAAAAGACATCAAAAAGTGCATTTAGCATGATAGGTCCCCTTTAATACTTGGCCTGTGGGTCATGACGTAGACCTACTTACTGCTTTGCGTTTGAGGGTACAGTCAAGCCTCCACCTGTTGCCCTCCACTACAGGTCTCTTCAGAAAGATCTCTGGACTCAGCCTAGGAAAAAAGAGAGATATAAAACACATAGATTAAATAACCATTTTTCAAATGCATCACCACCACTGGTTAGAACATTAAACGATGGAAACAAATAGATATTTATAGTCACTCTTTCAAAACTACCAACGCATTTCACACACTTAACATATGACAGACATGACATAATGATATATTTTCATGAGTCATTAACGTTGGCATCCTGAGCCGACATGTTTACAACGCCATCGGGTCACATTACACAGGGTGACACCTCAGTGGTTAAGACCATAAGCCCAGTGACAACGGCCTTGGCACACAGGGATGTCAAAGAGGGATCATAAACTGTTAGATTTCAAGTTACACTGTCAGTAAAACCAGAACTGTGTCAGTGGAGACAAATACATTGGTTATTTCTTATTACAAAAACACCATTAAAACACTATTAAAGGAAGAGTTAAACAACGGGCCATGTAATATGCAAAACAGTTTATCTGGTTATTAATATTAGATTAGATATTCATCTAAGAGTGTTTGCAAAGGATAATTTCCCCCCAGGTGTAACTGTCATTTAACAAGTGTTTCACATGAGACGGGTTTCTCTTTGTTTTAACTAGTGTTTCTGAATTTCAACATTGATTACATAACATGCAAGCATATATTCACAGTTCGGAGTGGCATAAATACACTTTACAGGCCCTCTGACAGGTCTTATAACCACTTGATGTGTGAGAAACATCACAGTAAATCAAGACGAGATAGTGAAAGACAAAGAGTGTGTAAGTAACAGCAGTGTAAACAAACACTTTATGGAAACTATATTTGTGTCAGTGTATTTCTATTCTGGGTGTGTGGAAGAGGCTGTAATTAGAGCCAGTACCATTGCATCGCCTTCAAGACAGCCAGGACTTGTGGGTTATGCATAATGTAATGTGACACAGTATGTACTACATTTACAGGGTGTCAAAGTCTCAGCTCGTTCTTTAGAGCATGTCTCTGTGTGTTTACCAAACTAATAAAATAGGCCAGTATAACTATTCTTCATTTATTAAAGCTGGATTATGATACACCTGGGTACAAATAGCATTGTTGACTATAGACACCTGGGTACAAATAGCATTGTTGACTATNACACACACACACACACACACACACACACACACCTTTATTAGTGTCCTCCTATGTTAGCATGAGTGGCTGTGGCTGAGAGTGAGATTTAGTTATACGTTAAATCACCAAGTGTTTGTGTATTTCTCTCTCTCGCGCTTGCATCCCCCCCTTACCCACCCACCCACTGACCCCTCCCTCTCGGCGCTGGTTGGTTGCCACGGCTACAGTGTCGCCTCTCTTCCTCATGTTGCTATGAGACTCGGACCGACAGACCTGAGCTGAATGACAATGCGTCTGTGGCGCTGGCAAGAAGCCCAAAAACATCCAATAAGAGCTGGTCTAGACAAACACTTCCCAATCTGGGGTCTGGGGACCTCCGGGTGATTGTTTGGGTTGGCAGGAGCCTCCTCAGCCACACCAGGGAAAGTTTATTAACGCTATTTATATCCTCAGTAAATTGCCCTCGATGAGAAAATGTGCCAGTCATTGTGTACTTAATAGTTATGAGAGCTCCTTTATGAAATGCAATAAGAAATCTTTTGAATTAGTAATTGTGATGCAGCAAAAGTAAAAGCTACAATCAATCAGTATCTTTTATATACACAATTGATCAATGATGATGTTTCACGTTCAGACAGACAGACAAAGTTTCAAAGACTAATGAAGCAACTAAAGAGGAATTGAGAGAAACCAAACAAGAGCTGAAAGACAAATATCAGCCCTGAATTTTACCATTTTTCATGGTGACAGAAACGTCCAAATGAATGCTAATTCTGCTCCGATTTCTTGCTTACATGTTTGCCATAATGATTTAACAAGGAAATGATAAGTCAGTCATGTTTCGCTCCCCCCAAGTAGCCCAAATGTCAGCTTTAAATGATTGTGAATTGAATGATTGCTGGTGTTGAAAACAAGCTATCAATAACATATTAAAAAACTGTTTTAGTTAGGTATTGCAAAGTGGAAATTCTTGTCAAAATGTTGTCATTAAACTAGGCTTCAACAAATCAATTATTGCTTTGTTTTGAAACCTGACAGATTCTGACCTCCCGTGTTACATCAGCCTGCCTTTTTCTTACTTGCTGCGGCTCAGTAGTGCAGAAGGACGCTGGAGAGCTGCGATTTCTCTCCCAGTAAGAATAACACCTTGATTAAGTGCTGAAATATGTTCCTCTGAAGGCGCCGGCGACCATGGAAAAGGGTTTTGACATATAACAGCAGAGCCGAGTGGGTGGGAGTGTGCGATCTTTGGGCTTCTGCAGAATCAATCTGCTTTCCTCTATCCGTTTAGTTTGGTATTCACATGCATCCACAAGAGAGAGAGTCTGTTCGGGGTTAGAGCAACACATCATTCAGCCAGCTGGTCCACATGCATTTGATGTCAGATGTATTGTCTGATATGCAAGTTATTCAGTATTGTATCTAAATACTTGTCTTTCCTCTGTGTCTCCGCAGGAACTGTTTACAGCGGAGTGTAAGTTTAAGGAGTCGGTGTTTGAGAACTACTACGTGATCTACAGCTCGATGCTCTACAGACAGAAGGAGTCGGGCCGGGCCTGGTTCCTGGGCCTCAATAAAGAGGGGCAGGCCATGAAGGGCAACAGGGTGAAGAAGACCAAACCAGCTGCACACTTTCTGCCTAAACCTATAGAAGGTAACACACACTCTCACACACATGGGGGATCATTCCTTTACATTTGTGTGGTTTTACAATACATGTCTGTTTTCTGAAATGTCTCTTTGTTGTATTGGATTTGAAAGTATAGAACTTCTTCTCCTGACATTCTTGGTTTCTTTCCTTCCTTCATACTTCCCTTACCCCTTTCTCCTCCACCTTCTTTTACCTCTCTTCTTCTCTCCTTCACTTGTCAACACCTTTCTTCTTCTTCTCATTTCTCACCACTCTTTCAACTCTCCTCCTCCCACTCCCATCCGCCTCTTTTCTCCCGCGACCCCTCCAGTTGCGATGTATCGAGAGCCTTCGTTGCACGACGTAGGGGAGGCGGTGCCTAAAGTCGCCGGGGCCCCGTCTTCCAAAACTACAACCAGCGAACCTGTGGTCATGAACGGCGGCAAACCAGTCAACAAACCAGACAAGACATAACCCCGCCTCCCCCTTTTATCCCCCCCCTGGCCAACCAGAGGCCAGGACAAGCCAGACTCGCCCCACTGCTGCGCTCTCACTAAAAACTGCAACGAAAGGTAACCAAACAAACCATCAACTTCTGACTGGTCAGCAGTGGGGCCGCTCGTCGCGTCACGTCTCGATGTAGGACGGATCCGCTACAACTTGCTTCGACTGGTGGCGGGGGAAAAGGGAGGAGGAAGACCATAAATGCTGGCCAATGCCCGCCAGATGTTTGGGAACTGGTTCAGTGGCATGCCCTCATACGTGAGACAAAATGACTTCTTAAAGATATAAACAAAAAACGGGAAAAAAATGTCTTCTTCACCGGTATTTTTCTGTGACAATCTGTAAGAATGAGTCCCCTTTCTTTCCTCTCCTGATACTGTTTCTGTTGCCAGGTATGCTTGCTTGCCGGTGGCCACGCACACACACACACTTGCACACGACTCCAACCCGAAATCGACCACTTGGATTCGATTTTTGCGTAAATAAAAAACAGATTAAAAAACAAACATCGGGCAAAAAGAACATTTTAAATACCAACCAGTGATGATTCAGAGGATGCTTAGTCATCGATCAATTAAGACAGGACGTTCTGTACCGAGCCTATAAGGAAATGTTCTTAAAATCGCCCTGTGCATTAAAAATAAGGCAACACACACTATGACCTGTTTTAATCACATACTATATATCTGTTAAGAAAAGAGAGTTCTTATTTGACACTGCATAGCTTAAAGCATGTTCGTCTTTTCAGTATTCCTTTATTATCTGTTAGATGGTTCATTATTCTGCACACACAGTGAATATTGAGCTGCGTCGTTGTACGGACACAAAACAGATATTTTGTGTCTACCTTTCCGTCTAACAAGTTGTTTTCTGTCCCTTTTTTACGAATGTTATGATTTCCACATCACTTGGTAGCTCAGGAGAGGAGGAGATCTGCTCGTTAGTGTGTAGCTGAGTGATGAAACCCGAATGATTTCCCTGTTTGTAGCAACGCAAAGTACAGGAGGCATGCTGGCGTCCACGCAGCATGGTAGCAGTCACTGTTTACACGGAGTAGCAGAAACTTCAAGAAGTAGTACTTTTTCTTTCTGTTGCCTCCCAAGTACTTGAAGTTATGAGGAAAATATAGGAATGAGGGTTATAATGAACAGGGTCAATTATTTTGAAGCCACTATGTGTGGAATTTACCACCCAGTGGTTTAAAAACAGGCACTGTGGTAATGCAATGCACGCCTTTACCCCTCCCCGTAGCAGAGGATCAGAGGAATTAATAACTATAGCTGTCAAACAAATAAAGAGGAATATTTATTATAAATATCAATATTTTTTTCTGATATATAGAAAATGAAAATACTAAAGTAAAGCACCTCAAAATTGTACTTAAGTACAGTGAAAATACAATATGTGGTTACATTCCACCACTGGTCCTGTGTCAATATGTAAAGTAGCCTATCAATTCAAGTACAAATAAGTATTAGAAAGTTGGTTTCTGTATAACCACCCGAAAACAAATAGCACACTTTGGTCACAGCGATAAAATCAAACCACTGAAACGAAGCTTTGTCTGAAACGTTTAGATCTACAGGGCTGGAAATCACATGCCTTGGAGAGAAATAAAAACCAAATAGATCCCCATGCTTAGCCCTCTCACTGTGACAGTCAACACGGCACCAATCTGTTCCGGACTGCTCTACAAACATTCTGTTTACTCGTCAAAGAATAGACACCAATTAACTACACCGGTAGTCCGTCATATCGCTGAGGGGACGTTAATGCTGTGATCCCACGCTTCATATTAGTGTCGGAGACAATGAGGTAGCAGCAAATGAATTTATTCAGTAAGAAACAGAAACCGTGCAATCTCTCTTGCTTTGATTCTCAATTTTAAGGCCAAGTCTCTGCTTTGAATTTCGATCAGATCCTTGAAACACTTGTCGTATTTGCTGGAGATAAATGACCTCCCAAAACTAAAAAAGAAACAACACAAAGCGTCCCGCCCTAGAAAACTAATCCTCACAGTTGTTCCAACATTAAGCGTCAGGTGTGTAGCAGGTGAAACACGAACCTCTCCAAAGTGTTCAATGTGGTCCCGCTGTGTTGTACTGTACGGAGAATGCACTCTTGAAAAATACAAGACATCTCAGTGTCTCTAATTGGCATTTCTCAGAAATGTTCCTCACACATTTTTCTCTCCTCTGAGCTCATTAGCTGCCGCTCGCCTTGGTGTTCGAACACGTGTGGCTGACCAATTTACACTCTGTGAACTCTGCTTATTTGTGTCCTTCCGTAACAACTGTTTTGAAAGGAAAATATTTGTGAATAAGGGGGAAATGGAATTTAAATATGTGTGCAAAAAAGAGAGATAAGAATCTTATGTGAATGCACAAAATGTATTGCTGCTGTTGGATCATCTGAAAGTATTACTTTTCGCTGGACCGTACTGTAGATTCAATGTGAGTGCCTCTCATCCCCAGTTTAGCTCAAGATGTGAGATCTGAATGCTAAATATTTATCCAGCAGGGTTTTAGCAAGCATTTCCAAATTCTCAAAGTCGCTCGACTTCGGCTCTGTCCCTGTTAAATGTTACTTAAAGTGCAACGTGGGGCCGTGGTGATGAGTAAGAAGTCCTTTTTGACCGGTGTTGTACTTGTCTAGCGTCAAAGAAATGTGGATGTAACATAATATTGCTGTGTCACACTTGGGGTTACTAGCAAAACTGTAAAAAAAAAAAAGAGAGAAAAACCCTGACAATCAGGTCTGTAGACGTCCTTCTTCTTTTTTTACGTATCCTGTGTTGTCGCAGCTGCCTGTGTCTAAAAAGCCACTTTAATTACAGTCTATAGAGTACAATGTTTTTGCCTGGCCAGACATTTAGGAGATACAATCGAGACTCTGCTATTCATCGAATATTATTAAGCAGCTAATTTGTCCACACTGCTGGCAGGGAGGAAATGGTCCTGCATTCAGAGAGGCCCAGCTTGTTAGGTTAGAAGTGTGGCTCACATCCTGTGAAAGCAGCTATTGAAGATCTGTGGCACATGCTCAAGAATTAATGATGGTTGAGGATGGAGAAAAAGGGACGCGGTTTCCTGGCTACTGACCAAAGACACTGCTTGAATAGTGTTTCCAGGCTGGTAATCACAGTTATTGGTTCAAACAACGAAGGCGCAATTACTCTCAGCGTCTCCTCCGAGATTTCTCTCCACTGGTGGTTAGCCAGGTACCAAGGCTACAATGATGAGATATCTAACGGCGGGCTGTGCACAGGAAGAGGGCTGATTTAATTAGAAGTGAGCAATCACGACAACCCGGGTCACTTTTAATTTCCACATGCAAGTACCACTCATGTTCTCGTGGCAGGTACACATGTAGCCATCTCACTTTGTCCTGTAGCTCTGAAACCAGAAGGCACACAATGGACATAATAGGACGGGAAAATGCTTGTGACCTGACCACTGCAGTACAGGTGCACTTTAGAGACGTAGTGATCAGCACTGTACCCAGGATGTAGCTGGCCTCCCTCAGGTTTCCTTTCTTTTTTCCATTCCACTTTATTCCTCTGACAAAAGACTGCCTTATTACATCTGAATCTGAAACGAGACAGTTACCGCGCTCTCCTCCCAGCTGTTTCTTTCTCTGAGCACACACACACACACACACACACACACACACACACACACACACACACACACACACACACACACACACACACACACACACACACACACACACACACACACACCATTCATCCTTTTTTACGTTTCAATTATCCTTTGATCCCCAATCTTCTGTTCACTGTAACTATGCTAGCTTTCACTCTGCTCGTTTTGTCCTCACGCAGCCAGAGAACTTATTCCCACCTCCTCCTTTCTCCTCACTGTTTGGACTGTTTCCCACTTGTTGCATGGTTTTTAAAAGAGGAAAGATGACTGGGGCTAATGCATGTGGTAATGTAGGAAATGTGTTATCAAAACAAAACAAACATTTACAGCGGAGCACCAGTACAACTTTGCATCTGGCTCATTTCTCACATTGGTTTGCAGTGGTAGACGTGTGTGGCATCAGAAACAACTAACATTACGCATAATCCATCATTGCAATAATGGAGCAAAGGAAGAATGAATCAAAATTACTTCATATCTCTAATACAGTTACACTAATGCATGTCTTGCGTGGTAAACTTTTAGCAGAGCATCACTATTTAATTCATCTGGCTGAGAGGAAAATTATATTATAATATATAGATAACAAAAAACCAGAAGAAGTAAATGTTTGATATCCTTTGCTGCTTCTTTTAACAATGATGGATTGAGTTTATGAAGTTATTTGAGATGCTGACACGTGGTGGTTCTCTGATTAAGGACCATTATACTATATAAAATCTTAAAACACATGGTACGCAATCTTCTAGTGACATTTAAGCTGGAAAGAAATGGTGTCACACATGTGTAAAGCCACAAATCATCCAAGAAACGTTTCAATATTAAAGTGAAAAGAGAGACGGCGGAGGTTTCTTTATTCGTGTTCATGCTGCTGTGGGGTTTGTCCAGGTTTTATCCGCAGTATGTGTTCCTGAAACAGGGCTAATGGAAGCTAGTGCACATATAATCGCAGGTTCAGTTTTACAGTGAAGCTGGGATTAATTACAATACGGAGAACCAAGATGTACAACAACCCGCTGTGATGCAAACCATGCTAGCTATGAGCCAAAAGCAAAATGTCACTGGCGCTAACCTAAAAGGAGATTACTCTGTCTGTCGGTAAATGTACAGTTACCTTTACATACATATTATGCAAACAGTTTGTCTGCACTGTACAGTTTGTGTCCAATCCATTGTATACACACAGAAAACAATATTGAATAAAGGATTTATATAAAGGACTGGACTGATTGATGTCAAATAACCATTTTACCATCCCTGTATTTATTCATCCATCATCCAACATTACAATTAATTCCATTCATTATTTTTATTGACCTACGGGTACGATGTGTTATCAGCCGTTTTTAGCTGCAGAAAAAGGAAGTGACTTCATCTGTAAAGAAATAGCTTTGTGTCTTATTATTATTATATGTATTTAATCCCTTATTGAAATGCTGTTTTCTGTCCAAAAACTGTTCAGAAAAAGCAACAAAGTTTTACAGAATAATTTCATAATTTATCTTTTGAGAGAAAAACACTCAGAGAAATAGATTTTGTTGGAAGCACCATTAAGCATATGTATGGCAGCAGGTTGACAGGCAGAAACACACACACACACACACACACACACACACACACACACACACACACACACACACACACACACACACACACACACACACCGCCTGGCCTCCTTTAAATGACAGATGAACAAGCAAATACTTTAATTAAGTGGATGTCATTAGAATTTGCATATGTAAATGAGGTGTACTTTGAAGGGCAACATGGTGTTTAATTAGCTAGATGTGGCTTATAAAGCACTGAACCTTTAATTATATGCAATGAAAAGCTGAATGCTTAATCTCTAATTCAAACTGATGATAGCTTAACGTTATTTATAACTTGTTTAAATAAGTAAGTGTTAAGTTGGTGAACTTTGCCATGACTTTTTTGCTGTATCACACCTCAGTTATTTTTTATCTTTCTCCTGTCACTCTTTGTCATCTTAAGTATTTTGTTTCACCATCTGTTCTGCTATCATGTCACATACTTTAAAGCGTCTTGCATGCATTTTAACTCCCATACTTTGTCATAATACTGCACCTGTGTGATTCATCACTCTGCAGACAAATTCAATTACTTTAATGTCTGCAAAGTGAGTTGAGAATAGCTTCTCATTTGTAGTTTCTGCATCCGGCACAATTTATATTCTATATTGGCCTTATCAGGGTGCCATTATAAGTTGTTATCTTTCTAAGTGTAAACATCCATCATATTCACGTTCATCCTCTGCTGGACGTGTAATTGATCATTGAAGAAGGCGATGACAGGATCTAGATCGTGTCCTTCTGTCAGCAAAGTTTGTTGTTTGTTTGTGCATGTAAATGGTCTGCAATCCAAAAGTTAACCTCCAAAAGTATAATATGGCCCCTTCACCTGAACGTAGATGACCTATGCCACTATTGAGTAGCTCTAGGGCTCAATACTTTCATAACAAAATCAAGATGTTTCAAAGTTCTCTTAAAGCAATAAAAGTGTTTTCGATGTTTCCTTTTTATTGTTCATTTGTGTGACGTTTATTTTTTAAACGGTCGTCATTTCTTTGGCTCCAGGGCCACAGCTGTGAGAGTGGGGTTATGTCCTCGATATTGTTTCCCGTCATCCTCTTTCCTCTTCACTGTCCAATAAAGGAGGACATTACCAAAGAGGAAACA